ATATGGGTCTATGCCTATACCTCCTCCAGCCCAGGGCTCCAGCTAGTGGACCTGTAGCTGAGCCTTACAACAAGCCTCGTTTGCGACTAGCACCTCAGCACAGGTCAAGCCTGGGGGGAGCAAGAATAGCTGTGGCCGGTTGGTAGGTATGGAGCTGGTGATTCGCGAACTGATCCGGCAAGGAGGGCTGGCTCGTAAAGGCCACGATGGATTGGATTTAAGGGAAAATCTTCAGTGGTGCGCCCCAATTGAACCAGGTCCTGCGTCCACGAGTACGACGGCCAATGTTCCGCAGCAACACGCAAATCATTGGGCTGGGCTTTGCTGACCAGGTCCTTGGGCTTGGGCGTCAGTCAATGGGTGTCGGGTCGGTGTCCATGGCGCCCACTGATTGCATGTACCCGTACTTGGCGGGCGGCTCAATCTGCTGCACTGACAAGGCAAATGCTGGGTAGCGGTACCTTCTCAAGGTGTCGCCCAGGTACCCACTACCTTTGAAGGACGGGGATGCATCTCTCTCTGACCTAGCACAGGCCAGGCCCTCCAGAACCACAGCCTCCAAGCACAGATTTATCACTAGCGCTGCAAGCAAAGACACCAAACGTGCGGCTTCCCCCTGTCCTATCGCATCGCACACAGCAACGCACGAGTGGCCCTATTGAATGCACCTGGGCATGGCTCTCAAGGCCCAGACACGCGAGCACAGGCACAATGCCGGCCTGGAGTCCTTCTTGCAAGTCCTGAGATCAGATCCAGCGTCAGATTTAGGCTGCGACATGGTCTGACTGGCTGTCCTCCGATCCCAAATCACATGGAACCGCACAGGAAATGAGCCTTAGAGGCCAGCTGCAATGGGCATTTCCGGTTCCTACCAAATCAAGTGCTTACGGATTGTTTTAGAGAGCTGCGCAAATTGCAGGGTGTCTACATGCACTATCTTACCCCATTCCATCACGGCCAACGGCGGTAAATGGAAGGACGATGGAAGAGTAGCAACCCAGCCCTGGCGCTAGAGAGGAACATGTCCCGAGCTTTGATCCAGAGTTAACCAGCCTTTCCTTCTACCTATCTTTGATCGGCGACCTGCCTAGGGGCACACGTCTGAACAAACGATCTTCAATCCTACCCGCCAAGGCATTCACATCGCCATCCATTGGCCATGCCGCCCACCAACTTGCCTGCAATTACTCTCACATTCCTGCCTGTACCTCCAGTGGCCAACCGGTCTGATGTTGTTGGTGTAGGACTTTGCAGGGTGGGGTTCAGGACTGGGTGCGAGCTCGCCTCGCCGCACACGTAAGCGGGATCACATCACCACCATTCTTTTCGCTTCTGGCTGTTTTCGCGATTTGGCAATTCTGTTGACGAGGATCCAGACCTCTTGTTAGGTCCATTAGATCAGCCGTTCTGGCGCACCACTGGGCACCCGGACTCTGACTTGGCAATGAAGAGAGTTCGTAGAGTTGAGGTACCAACTACGAGGCCGAAACCTCAACAAGGTACCACCAGCTGTTCCGCTCGTTATAACGTCTTGGAGGGTATTTACCTTCAACGTTGCTTCCCAAATAACGGTGGTGCATATGACCAGTCTTGGGCATGGTGGTTCTCCCACATTCGAGATCTTCCCATTATGGTTCCATCCCGTTTCGGAAACCATCTGGACAATCTTGAGGGTTTGAGCCTTCTTACCAAAACTGTCGCTGTCAGCTAGTGGGCAGTGCATTGGTAGTGGAGGCAGCGGTAAGTGCCACATATCTTTTTTAGGAACAACGCAAGAACTCAAGCCACACATAAATCCTAAGAAGCTAGGATGTCCTGGCTCGACAAGTCTCAGCCGCACCTCCACTTTTCCGCTACCTTCATCCTAAGTACCGTCCCAACTTGTCCCAGCCGTCAACAAAGGATATCGCATTGCGGCAACATGAAAGCTAGGACCTTGTCGAATAGTATCCATGAAGGAGTGCTTAACTAATAGGTAACTGATCTTCGCCCTTCTGCAGCAACAGTCCTTGCCAATGAAATCCTACAGGCATGTGAAGAACCTGGGGTATGCGTTTTTGTTGCCATAATAGTTTGCCTGGTTAGAGACGAAACCATCACAGACCAGGACACTGCATCTAATCTTGGCGGTGTTTGCCTGAATATTATTACCTCCGCACAATGTGTACCGGGCTCGCAGCTCCTATGGGTGAATGCGGCTGAGGTGACACCAGGGAGATCACCAAGTTGCCCATCCATCATTCTGTGCTCTCGAATGACGATTGTATATGATCCAGTTGTTACAGTCTCCAGTCACCTCCACTGTCGGGGCGGTATGTAGAAAGCTGGGGAAGGTCGAGGCACTTCTGCAGACCAACTGGGCCTACATGCTTTTTTTCTTAGTTGCCTACGTTGCGCACGGCTGCCCAATTGTTATTTCAGCCCATCCCCCGACAATACATTTTGATATATCTGCCGGAATGTCCATATTGGACGCAGCAAAGCGGGCAAGTGGGTGACATGAGAAATGAGACACCTAATGGAAGAGTTGGCTATTAATCGACTACTTTCTGCAAGAAATAGAGAATTTCAGAAGTACGAAACAGAAGAAAGGAACAATAAATACAGTATTATATATTGTTAGCACTCAATAATCCGATAATACCGGTCGCAGACTTGGGAATAAGCAGCTTATTGTTTGAGTGTCTCAATTTTCAATGTCACCCACTTGGCGGGACAGAGAAAATTGCTACGTACGAGGGCGGTCAAGGCCACACAGAAAGACAATGCCTTGAACATGTGTTTCAGTCCTTCATTGTGTTGCCACCTCAATCCTTACACCCGGGTCTACCGGGAGTATCGATGACCTAAATCAATTCTCGATCGCTGGTGAGATATGTAAGGGTTGCGACTTGGAATATTTCACACTGATCGACCTTGTTAGATCAATAACCTCCAGAGGCGGTTCAAAATACCTACCTATGGGGCCAAATTACGGCGCTGCATATCTGCAAGGTCCTTCCAGGGAATGCATCGCTTGTTATCGCTTCGACCTGATGGGCCGAGAGTAAAGCGCACACCAAGATTCCAACAGAGTCGGACAGAGAGTGTGGATTGGCCAGAAAAGACGGTCAGCTGATGCGTCTCAGTTGCTACCCATGTTCTCGAGCTGTCATATTAGCGGGACGTCTATCTCATTCAGACTTGGTGCAAAACTATAGGCATGAGACATGTTGCTGAGACATTGGGCCGTCACTAGTCCAAGTCAGACTTAACATGGCAAGAAACCTGAGGTCGAAAGCTTGGGGCGCCTCTTATAAGCTGTGGTGTTATGAGGGCACGAAAGTCTCCAGATTGAATGCATACGAGTTATGGCTAACGCTATTGAGGCTCGAGGCCGGTCCCTGTTGATCATACGATCAGAAATTCAAGTGCTTTGGCTACAAATATGTAATTGTAGCCTCATCCTACGTAGCATGTTCTGACAGTGGCTTGATATTCAATGACGAGCCTTGCGGCTGGCCTAGCATGGAATCAGTAATTAATATCCGCCTGTCCATGGGGGCTTCTGTAAGAGGGTATAGGAGGCTGTCGCCAAATCAATCGAAGCATGTGGTAGTATGTTCGTTTCACAGTGCCAGCTAACTCCCTGTAGGGCCTCTTACCGACCTCTCCTTACTTATGGGCTTTGGGTACAAGGATTCAAGCCACCATGTTGACGATAATTGGAGATCAGCTGCATGTGTTCTGCATTCTAGCTCCCAAGCAGCCGTCCAGCCCTAGGAGAAGATAGGGGTGTCCTTCTAGAAGTTCAATTCCGACAATCTGGCTGGCGCTGTTGTATTAGAGTGCAGGTGGTACAGTAGGAAACAGCGATCTCCCCAGCGGAAGGGTGGGCCATGGGGCCGGCGGTCAGGGGCATCACACCAGACTCCAGGCCACATGCACATGAGTGAGGCCGAGTCCAACCCAAAGCGCCCCCAAACCAACGTGCAGGTGTGGGGATGCGATAATACAGCGCAACCTGCCAAAGGATGCAAGAGCCTCGCACCTAGTCGTCAATTGCTCACAAAATCGTCAGCATGCGCAGATGCTGGGTTCTTGCTAGCCTAGAAGTGCCTGCAATCTGCTCTCACCTGTAATTCTGTCTCTTCAATCTGTTGCGATCCAACCTATTATCAAACACCATCACCACCACCACACCACCGGAACCCCGCCCCTGCAGCAGGCACTGTGCGTCATCATCACCGGCTTGCAATTGATAGCACCAGACGGCCCGTTTGGAGAGCAGGGATAGTAGGGCAGCAGTTGCTATAGCCCACGGTGTGATCCCGAGCCTCCTGCTAGACAGAGAACCCGGTCCGCCTTTGATTGCACCGCATGCATTGGTTCCCCGTCGCCTCCCAAGCGACGGTGCAGCCGAAAGGTGCGGTGGCTTCAGCGCCAGGGGACCGTGAGCGAGGCTCATAAGGATGAGAAGCCTCCCCGGTGGCCCTGGAACAGAAGCTCTGGGCTCAAAAGTCTGTTTTCATTTATCCTGCTCCTAGCCAGCATCACAGTAAGTAACTTTGATTCTGCCTCAACCACCATTCCTACCCGGGCGCCCCCCATACAATTAAACCTCGGTGCAATTGGGGGTCTGCCTCGAGACCTCCCAGTTTTTGCCCTTGGCGCTTGGCCACATCCCCCGCAATGGGTTTTACTCTGGCAGATGGTTTGCGGTAGACCGTCCCTACCACCCAGAAAATACGCCCCAATGCGCCCACATTTGTAAACGATGCCAAAGCTGCTGACACAACCTTGTATCAAAGTTAGCCCAGCTCGTCCTTTACCACGCCAAGCAGCGTCTCTTCCAGCTTCGATTCCCTGGCCATATATCGTCGTCATCTTCTTCCCTCCCCTCCTCCTCACTCATCCCTGATCAGCTCTCCGTCTCCCAGACAGAGTCTGCATGTCGTAACCCATCTTCGGCCCAGTTTCTGTTCCCGAAAGTACCTCACCACTCGCGACACCTAAACACCATGGCGATTCACCCAGAAGCTAGTCGCGTCGTCTCCCAGTTCGACTTCTCTGACGTCGACATCAACCGCCATGTCCAGGAATTCCTGAAGCAGATGAGTATGTGCATTTCGCGACATTCCTCCGTGATTTCCTCATCACCCTCTTCTTGATTCTACATTTTTCTTTCTCTCATTTGCCATCCTGCATCTTCAACCTCAGCAATGACATGCTCACATGACGTTTTTCTTACATAGGCGAGGGATTGGAAAAGGATGGAACGAGCTTGAGCCAAATCCCAACCTATGTCACCGGCGTGCCCAATGGCACGGAAAAGGTACAGTACAGCCTTGGAATCATTCAAATGTCTAACCGTAGGCCGCGTGCTTATTTTTTGCTCACTATAGGGTTTATACTTGGCTGTTGACCTAGGAGGCACCAACTTCCGCGTTTGCTCAGTCACCCTTCATGGCGACACCACTTTTGACTTGACTTTTGACAAAGTGGCCATTCCCAAGGAGCTCATGGTTGCCAAGACGGCCTCAGAGCTATTCTCTTTTCTTGCGAAGCAGGTGGAGGCCTTCCTGCAGAAGCACCACGCGGAGCATTTTGAGTGCCACCTACAGCGCCGGAAGACTGGCAGCGCACCTGAAGGGTTCAAGGAACAGGAGATTTTCCACCTTGGTTTCACCTTCAGTTTCCCCGTTCAGCAGCTTGCCATTAACAAGGGCAATCTGATGAGATGGACCAAGGGCTTCGACATCCCAGATGCTGTTGGCAAGGACGTCTGTGCCCTCCTCCAGGTTGAGATTGACAAGCTGGGTCTTCCAGTAAAGGTTGCTGCCCTTGTCAACGACACAGTGGGAACTCTCATGGCCCGTTCATACACCTCGACCGGAAAGTACCGCTCTATCCTCGGTGCAATCTTCGGCACAGGCACCAATGGTGCTTACATTGAGAAGACCTCAAACATCAAGAAGAAGATTGTGGGAGATTACGATACGTCTACAGGTGAGATGGTCATCAACGCAGAATGGGGCTCCTTTGACAATCAGCTCAACGTCTTGCCCAACACCCCCTGGGACCAAACTCTTGATAGAGACAGCGTCAACCCCGGGATTCAGATGTTTGAGAAACGTGTTTCGGGTATGTTCCTGGGCGAGATTGTTCGGCTCGCCGTGGTCGACTTAATCAAGGATGAGAAGACGCTTCTTTTCAAGAACCCAGACGTCGCCGCTGCCGGAGGTTCCATCCTCGAACAATGGGGCCTTGACAGTGCCGTTATGTCGACTGCCGCCAAAGACGATTCCGCTGACCTATCCAACCTCAAACAAGAGTTGAGCATCTTACTGAATGGCTTTGTCCCTACTACTGAGGATGCACAGACCTTCAAGGCTGTGTCATACGCGGTGGGACGCAGAGCTGCCAGACTATCTGCTGTAGCCCTTGGTGCCATTGCTCTTCAGTCCGGCAAGGTACAGGATCCCAAGGAAGAAGTCATTGATATCGGTGTCGATGGCAGTCTTGTCGAACATTACCCTCAGTTCCGTGAAATGATCTACGAGGCCTTGGAGTCTATCAAAGAGATCGGCCCTGAGGGTGCTAAGAAGATCCGCATTGGTATTGCCAAGGATGGAAGTGGTGTTGGTGCTGCATTGATTGCCCTCATTGCCGACAGGTCATCCAAGACCAACCAGGCCGTTGCAAACGAGAAGATCAAGAAGGAATTGGAGTCAATTCCTACTGAAGGTATGTCATCATCTCGCAATGCTTAGTAAATGGGGCGCTTTCAATGCATGTTTTCGTTGATCCATCAGGCTAACCTCCCCAAAGCTGGGTCCATCTTTTCTTACTCAAACCTGGTGACGGGTGGTATTCTAGCTGCTGCTGCTGCGAGTGTCTTTTGGTGGGGTAGACAACGTCGTTAAGGCGGCTCCTTCATGTCGGAAAAAAATTTGGGTAGTCCCTGGCCTTGAAGGCTCAAGGGTGAGGCGTTGGTGCTGTAACTATAGTGTTATCGAATAAACTCTTTTCTATGGTCTCGCCGACTTCACATATCTTTGACCAATTATGACGACTCATGTTGACTTGATTCCCACATATATTTGGTATCGGCTCATCTATTATCTATTCCTTGTTGTAATCTATCCTATCCCTAGTGTGTCTGGCTGTTCCATATCATAAAAATCAAATTATCCATCTCCCGGCACATAGATGTGAGTGTAGCATTCTGGAAGCATGTACCTTGCCCATGTCAGACCTCTCCTAGCTTCCAAATGCTGCGGCAGGGTACGATCTATCTCGTTTCTTCCTCTGGGTGGAGCTACTTCGTGAACTGTGGCCGGATGCCGTCCCTGGAGCACCTCTCCTGGGCGGCGGGACCAGCCCATTGGCCATGTCCGCGGGCAAGTCATTCCACTCCGTCTCAGCACGTCTATTCTGGAAGGACTGTCCGGACCCAGTTCTGCTGGCCGGCTCAGGCCTAGGAGGCCCGCCCATCGGCGGGAGGTTGACGACGGCAGCGGTTGCGCTGGCCTCGACAGGCTGCTGCTGACCGCCGTTGGCGGAAGCCGGCGCCGGGATGGCGGTCAAGTCGCGCTTGACGATCCAGGCCGAGTCCGGGCGCAGCTTGATGTAGTACCCATTCACGGGGCTCGCGCTCCTCTTGAAGCCGCGGCTGTCGTACCACTGGAGCCCTTCCTCGTTCTCCGTCCAGACGTGCGCGGACATGTGCTTCACGCTGAGCTCGGGCTCGGCCAGGGCGGCCTGGATGACCGCGTTGAGGGCCGCGGTGATGAGCCCGAGGGAGCGGTAAGGGGACAGGAGGCACAGGGACTGGATGTACAGCGATCGGTCGTTCGAGTGTGCCGAGACCTGCTCTGCGCGGCACACGACCCCGCCCACGACCTGTGGTTCCTCGCCTTCGTGTGTCCACGTGATGACTCTGGAGAAGCGGCCCTCGCCGCCCTCGTCGGCGGCACGGTCGTAGAAGATGTCGCTGTAGGGGACCTGGAGCAGGAGGCTGTTTATCCGTTTCAGGGCGGTGATGTCGGCGCTTGTGATGGGGCGGATATTGGCTTCGCGGGGCAGATCAGGGGCGGTGATGATCGAGGCAGGCTCTCTTGGGGGAGGGGCGGCTGGTTCTGGGAGGGAGCCATTGGTGCCGGTGGAATCCTCTGCGGGAGGTGCTGCTGTGGGAGGTTGTGACCCTGGGGGAGGTGCGTATTTTGGCGCTTTTGGCTGGAAGAACGAGCGGATCGAGCTCTGGGCCGGCTTCATGGGGTTTGTTGGGAGAGACATCGTGAAGAAAAGTAGTGCTATATCAAATGTATTTGGGAGGAGAATACGGCGGGTGATCGTCAAGCCACACAGAAAAAGAAAGTGATTAGGCTCGTAACATGTTGTTCAGAGCTGGGTAGCACAATCGATGCCGAGGGGGTTCTGGTTGTTTTTGTAAGACAATGTGGCACTTTGAACTTCCAATGATGTGAAGGCTCATGCTCGACACGGAGCTGGAGTAATATGGGGGCTGATGGAGGTCACTAATAATAATACACATGGAACGCTGAGGCGAGCGGACTAGTGAGGCCGACCCACTAGCTGATAGTGGTTGCAGTCCGGGAGCTACAGGGGGGGTCACTAGGGGCACCTGTTCGGGGCACTCATCAGGGGGCAACAGGCACCAGATGGAGTGCTAAACTTTGGCCAATGCATTTTTCCTTTTTCCGAGAGGCAGAAATCGTCCAGCTGGGGTCCATCGCCGCATTGTCATCATCCCGACACTTTTCTTAGGGGCCTTCAGTCGCTTCTCACCTGAACCTGACTTGCTTTGCTTCACCTTGCCTCGCATTGCCTGCCCCAAAGTTCTGGGCTAGGGGTCACTTTAATCTTCTCCTACCTCGACTTCTTCTATCTAGCTTTCTCCCCCGTATTCAATTGACCATTTCTCGATTGGCTTCCGTTCGAGCGTACAATGATTCGCTAGTGACGACAGTTGACAAATCCCGAACTGAACCTGTATTCCCGGTCCTGACAGGCTTCCCCCATCTCCCCGGTACTGGCCGACACCATCACACGACTGGGTAACACAAGACTTGGTCAACTTTCTTACCACTCCAACCTCGACTCTCGGGGCCCTCGTCCCCTCAAAACAAAATGGACTCATCAACAGGCAGAGCCGGCCTGATCCGCCCTCGCGATGATATCGGCAGCATGGACAAACTGGTATGCACAAACCGCTGACAGATGATTTTCTTCCTTGCTCCTTCTAGTGTTGCTTGTTGATGGGGCATCCCACTGCTTGGTGCTTTGCTGGGCGTGTTTGCACAGCTGACTGTGCCCGGCTGAGACGTTGGGAGTGCATTTTGCTAACCTGGGCATTTTCTGGACGATGTAGGCGCAATCCGTCCTAGACGACGTGCTTTACAACATCATATCCGACTTGGTAATGAAGACGCATCGAGAAGAGAAGACCGCAAAGGCCAATACGGCAGCTATTCATATCGAGAAGCTAGCATCTGACGCCTCCGAAGGCTCGACCCCAGACTCCAAACCCGATGTCCGAATCGAGACCGACGCTGCAATCTACGAGGATGGCAAGGTTCTACTCAAAGGCAACCCTCTACAGACAACCAAGGATATCCTCTGTCCCAAGTGTCATCTGCCCCGGCTATTACACCCGACCGACGGCAAGGGAGCCAAGAAGCCAGACCCGACCGTTCTCTACTGCAAGAGACAGCCATTCATTGAGAAGCCTGGCTGTGACATCTACGGCCAGAGCTGGGTCGGGCCAGGACCCGGCAGGGGCAAGAAGAAGAAGGACATGGAGAAGAAGGAGGATGCACCCGCCACTCCTGAACAGAGACCTCCCAACGTGCTCTCTTTCCCTTCTGCAACATGCAGCAAGTGCAAGCGATGCATCTTGGTGACCCGTCTGAACAACCACATGGGCTCGTGTATTGGCAACAGCGGCCGCAACGCCAGCAGAGCCGCGGCCCAAAAGATGAGCAACGGCAACTCGCAGACCGACCAAACCCCCCCTTCATCCCAGAAGGCGACACCCGTGCCAGGATCTCGTGCAGCAAGCCCCCGGAAGCGCGATGCCAGTGAGGACGTTGGAGAGGAGTCTGAAAATGCGCACAAGAAGAAGAAACTCAAGGCCGGTAACCCGAAGAAGATCACACTCAAAACCGGCAAGCCGAGCCTGAACAAGAAGGATTCGAAGCCACCATCTCAGCTGAGCCAGGAACATAAGGCAGGCCCAACAAGCTCACCAGGAGAGACGGCACCTAAGAAGTCGATGGGTCTGGGTATGAGCCCCGTGAAGAAACTCAAGGCTTCCAGGCCTATCCCGAACTCGCCTCTTAAGAATGGCGGTGATGCCGAAGTGGATTCTGAGTCGTCAATGACCATGTCATCACCGGTTGCGCAGACGACCGCCTAGAGCGTCGCAAGACAAAGATCCCATCATGAACATAGTTGAAGCGCATAATGCAGCCTCTTTGCTTTTGTTTTCAGCATGCTCTATCTGGATGATGAAGGTAGAGCCAGGCGAGGCTGGATACTCAATTGCTCGAACTCGGGGCAAGTCTTAGGATTGCTTCCGTGTCTTGCTCTTGGCCTATTTTCTTTTCCTTAGTTTCGTTCGAAGAGCATTTGTGGAAGCGGAAGGCTGGTTTGTACTATTTTCTTTTCGTTTACGTGTAAAGGACCTGCGAGGGAGCCTTTGCAGGTATCGACCACATTCTCACAGCATTACGGACCGGTATATCAGGCGTATAGGGGACCAGGGCGTCGTTTTCATTCTTTCATTCAAGTTGGTCATTCTGCGATTCGGGGTTCGAAATGCATTTATATATATAATTCTTCTTGAGAGAGATGCAGAAGAGTAACGGCATTGCAAAAGGAGAAAATAAAAGAAGCATATTGATTTTTCTAAATATACGACATGATGTTGAGCACTCTGATATGAAGGCAAACAGCAACTCCCAGTGATAACTCCAGAACGCCGCTGCACTCTGCCGTGCTTTTATAACCTCGAACCTAAATGTTAACATATGCTCTCAAGCCTCTTCCTCGGCATCAACGACCTTGGCCTCGACGATCTTGACCTCGTCCAGTGGACGATCTTCGGCTCCCGTCTTGACGAGGCCCATGCGCTTCACCGTGCTCATGCCGTGCTTGACCCGCCCGAAGATAGTGTGCTTCCCGTCGAGCCAGGGCGTAGGGGCAAGCGTGATGAAGAATTGCGACCCGTTGGTGTTGGGGCCGGAGTTGGCCATGCTCAGGATGCCGGCGCCCGTGTGCTTCAGTCCAGGGTCGATCTCGTCTTCGAAGTTGTCGCCGTAGATGGAGGTCCCGCCCCGGCCAGTGCCGGTGGGATCACCTCCCTGGACCATGAAGTTGGGGATGATACGATGGAAGATGGTGGAGTTGTAGTAGCCGCGGCGGACGAGGGTCGCAAAGTTCTTGCAGGTCTTGGGGGCATGCGATGTGTAGAGTTCGACGGTGATGGGGCCCTGTGGTGGAGCTGTTAGCTGTGTGTCCTACGCCTTCAGAAAAGCTAGAGGATTTAATTACATACCGTCGACGTCTGTAATACAACCTCGTGATCCATGGTGGAAAGGAACTGCTCCGTGTGTCTGGAACTCTCGTGTGCGGTGGGAAGCTTGGTTCTTCACTCTGAAGTTGTTCTGGATGCCCCACCTCGCGCCACGGGCAACATCCACTGCACGCTCAAGCGGGTGACATAAGAGATGAGACACCAAACCGGTACTTCAAGCGTCCATATTCGGAGAGGCTCTGTATTATATTCACTATAACTTGGTTCTAAAGCTTCTTAAAAAGACTAAAAAAGGACTTTGATATTATTTAGAAGCTAATAAGAAGATTAATATACTTTTTAAGGGGTTATTGCATCTTTATTGCAGTATTTGATAGCTACAAAGAAGGCACAAGAATTTGGTGTCTCATCTCTTATGTCACCTGGCTGACGCCCTACAGCAGAGTTCCAGGGGGCGCTGAGCTTGTATTAGTGGATCGCCTAGCAGCCGCCCCGGGCGCACTAATCTGATCTCTGTTCAGGGTAGCCTTTCCTCCAGGCTACTTACCTATTTCATCATTCACCTACCCTGCCATGGTTCCCACACACCTCACAAGCAGGAAGAATCATTAAGCAAGTGTGCCTTCCCTCATCCTTGAAGGGTGATTATTTTCTTTCTCTCCCTTTCGCTCGTTTATTCAATACGTGGCTCATGGCTTTCTAGCGAGCTAGGCTTACGCACACTTATCTACCTATCTACCTAGATAGGACACGTTTAAGTTCAGTTTATTTCACCAACAATTTCGTCTCATCAGCAAGAGGAACACCAAATACTCAACTTTTTGACGCTTCGGCTCAGGCAAGATGTCGGGCGATCCTTCTCTTTCGATGCCCCCCGAAGGAGGTCTAGACGGTTTGAACGCAACTGTCAACACTGCTCTAGTCCCCGAGACAATTTGGGAGATTCTCCAAGATTTCAGCTTTCTCGCCTTGGAGCTGAAACTTGTCCTCAGCGCCTTGGGAATCATCTACGTTGGAGCTCATGCCGCGCTCCGACGACCCCCCTCAGCAGCTCCTCCAAAGGCCAAGAAAAATGGTCAGAAGCCGGAGAAGGAGGAGCACTTCTCCCAGGGCCTGGAGCTCTCTGACGCCATCATGTTCCCCCTCATGGCAGGAATTATGCTCGTCGGCCTCTACTATCTCATTCAGTACCTCCAAGACCCGGAAATCCTCAACAAGATCCTACGCTGGTATCTGTCCACCATGTCGATTCTCAGCTTGCTCACCCTATACACCCATGGCTTTCAACTGGTTAGCTCCTTCATCTTCCCCCGCTACTGGCGTGGCAAGGATGGCAAACTTCGCAAAGCCGACCAGAAAGCTAGGGCCGTGAGGGTATGTGATGATGCTGGAAACGCCATCGAGGCTTCCAACACGATTTCGAGCCCTCTACCGTGGCCATTATCCATTTTCGCCCCCACGAATAGTGCAAGAAAGGCTGCATGGGATATCCGCAGCCTTGCTGTGCAACAGTGGACTTTCAAATTCTACGCCCACGGATTCGGAGATCTGACGACCAAAATCCAGCTCTCCCACATGATGGCATTCGTTGCCGCTGTCGGTACTGCCATTGCCTATACATCGACCATGTCTCCCTTCCTATCCAACATTCTTGGTTATGGACTCTGCTATGGAACATTCATGCTTCTCTCTCCGACAAACTTAATGACTGGAACATTTGTCATGATCGGTCTCTTTTTCTACGATATCATCATGGTTTTTTACACGTACGTACCCAAAACTTCTTGCAACTGCACCAAAAACTAACCAAAAAATGAACAGGCCTTACATGGTGACTGTGGCGACGAAACTAGATGTTCCTATCAAACTTACTTTCGAAGCGGCGGAGAGAAAGAGCATTTTGGGATTGGGTGATATCGTTCTTCCTGGTATTGTGATGGCCTTCGCTCTCCGCCTAGATCTATGGCTTCACTATCAGCGCAAGGTCAAGTACGAGCCAACCGAGTTAAAGCTCATCGCGAAGGACCCATCCGGTGCGCTCGTCACTCGTAGCGAGACCAAGTATCGAGAGATCAAGATGCCCTATATCGACGTCAAAAATAGATGGGCCGACCGTTTCTGGTCTCAATCTTGGCTATCTTTTAGACCTAGCAACGCCCCCCTTGAGCTCGCCGGATCCCGCTTCAACAAAACCTACTTCACTGCCAGTCTTGTAGGATACAGCCTTGGCATGGGCGTCACATTGGCGATGCTGTTAATCTTCAGGCACGGCCAGCCGGCATTGCTGTACCTTGTCCCTGGTGTCTTGGGATCAATCTACCTCACGGCCTTGGTACGAGGAGAGCTCAAGTTGATCTGGGGATATACTGAAGATGGAAGTCTTGACACGAAAGATGTCATTGTCGATGTGGATGAGGACGGCCGTGCAGTCAAAAAGCTTGGAAAGCTTGAGAATGGAGTGGTCAACACCACGATTGACATTTCCAATCCCGCCCAGGCCGATACGCACAAAGGCCAGTCTGAGAACAAGAGTTCCGAGAAAGGTAGTGAGAAGAATGAGCAGGCCAAGAAGAAAGCCCACCCGGTGCTTCTGATTTCACTGGAGGCGCCTGCGGAGGAACCTGAGCAGTAGAGCATGTCCAAGCCTAGGTAGCATGGATTACTAGAGGTATAGGTACCTAAAGAGAACAAATTCTGAAGTTCGGAGTAAAATGAAAACAATTCGGCATGATACGTTGAGGAAAATGCCAATGGCTGATTATGATTATGCCGCCTTATTTCCTACCCTAAACTCTGGGCATGTTACCGCATCCTTTTGGGCCAATGCATCCTTCTGCAACCTGTCTCAAAGTAATGCTTACAATGTCTCTTGCATGTGTTACATTAGGTAGTTGAATGGCCGCCCATAATTCCTTAATCGGAGCCCAACGTGGGCACTTCCTGCGACAAGGTGTGACCGTTGTGAGGAGATTAAACACTCGTTTTCACATTCAAACTCATCACTCACTGCATACCTCATCACACGTGGAGAGAGCTCTACAATGGCCAGCGACAACAAGACAGTCGTAATCCAATGGGTCCTCGACACCCGTAAGCTCTGGCCGCAGGCGACGCAGACAAGCCAGCTCCGACAACATGTAAGTCTCTCCGCCCCAGAAGACGGACATCCAAGTACCAGTAGCTGAACACCCCCAACAGGCGGCGAGGGCCCTCGAGCTCCTGACGCCCACGCAGCGCGAGGACGCCCTGCGCTACGTCCACTGCAAGGACGCCAAGATGGCCCTGGGCTCGCAGCTCCTCAAGCGCTACCTCATCAGCCGCTATGCCGGCGTGGCCTGGGACGCCGCGGTGGCCACGCGCAACAAGGACACCAAGCCCGTCTTCGTCCACCCGGACGACGGGTCCGAGCCCCTCATCTTCAACGTCTCGCACCAGGCGGGTCTCGTCGTCGTCGCCGCGGCCCTGCACCCCCCGACAGGCGTCACGCTGGGCGTCGACGTCGTCTGCCCCTCGGAGCGCCGCGAGCGCGACCGGCAGTACGTCCGGTCCGAGGGGTGGCTCGCCTTCCTCGAGATGCACGCCGACGTCTTCTGCCCGCGCGAGGTGGCCTACCTGGACCGGCTGCCCGTGGCGGACGTGGACGTGCGGCTGCGGTACTTTTACACGCTGTGGTGCCTGCGGGAGGCGTACGTTAAGATGACGGGGGAGGCGCTGCTGGCGCCGTGGCTGGGCGTGTTGGAGATGCGGTCGTTTGCGCCGCCGGAGGAGGAGGAGGAGGCGGGCCAGCTGGAGATTTACTTCCGCGGGCAGAAGCTGGATGACGTGGACATGCACTTGGTGAATTACCTCGAGCTGTACATGATTGGGACGTCGGTTGGGCGGAACAAGGATGGGGAGACGCTGGAGATTGGGGACTACGAGCTGCTGGATATCGAGGAGGTTATCAAATTTGGCGAGAAGGCAAAGGCTGGGTAGGTTCCTGCGTAGAAGAGGATGGTGGTATAGAGGATTACAAAGGTGATGTGCGAGTATCTCAGGCTTGGGTATCGACATGTGGAATGCTTCAACAGCGGGCTGGGGACCAAGGTCATTTCTTCGGATACATAGACAACATATGTGATAGTCCCGATAGACGGACGTCACTCGCTCTCGGCACGTCTGTTATCATTAACTTTTTTAATTTGGAGCATGTAATGCTATCTGTTGGGTCGATTGTCCCATCATCGGTGGACAAAGATCCATACTCCCACAATACAAACTCGGTCAAACCTCATTCCCAGCTTAAAAGTTCTTGGCGTAAAAGTTGAGAAGAACCTTGTAGCCGCGTTCGTACTCCTCCTTGACGCGAGCATCGCTCAGGTCGGCACGGGCAGCCATCCACCCGTGAATCTGGTCGCCAAAGGTCTCCACGTGCTTGGGGACCTTGAGGGCGTCCTCGAACTTCTTGACAACATCGGCCTCCTCCTCCTCGGACGCGAGGAGGGCAAAGGGGATGTCGATGCCCTCGGCATCGGCGGGGTCGACCATGGCAGGGTGGGCGGATGAGGCAATGGCGAAGGGGTTGCTGGCGGCCTTGACGGCGAGAGCGACAACCTTGCCACCCCAGCAGAACTGTAGTGTTTCCGACAAAGCGTCAGTTTGCCATTCGTCGATGACGTTTTCCCACTATGGTACGATTGTGGGCACTTACACCGAGGATGCCGAACTTGGACAGAGACGAGTCCTTTTCCTTGATAGCCTGGACGTAGTCGGGGATTTGGGCAGCTACCTTGGGAGGGGGGTACTTTCCGAAGAATGCGCCCAACTGCTTCTGCTTGTCCTCGTTGTCGGGAGGGTAGCTATGGCCATGGTCAGCATCACGTACGTACCACAGCTCGGGCGTGGGTAGCAAAACAGACATCTCAATGGGGCAGGGCACGCCGTGGAACAGGTCTGGCATGAAGACCTTGTACTTCTGGTTCTTGTCGCCGTAGGCGAGGATGTCCGCGCCCTGGATGGTCTGGTCAAAGTATCCGAAGATATCATAGATGATCACAATGGCCTTGGTAGCATCAGCTGGGCCGGTGACATCTGTTGCAAGGAGCACGCCGTTAGCAGGGGGTACGGCATGTCGTTGGCCTCGCCTCGCCTAGGAGATACAGACTTACACGTCTTGAAATCACCAATCTTCTCGTATGTTCCCTTGGCCTGGTAGCCCTTGGACACTACCGGGGGGATGTTGCAGCAGGCCTCATTGTGGCCGTGGGAAGCTGACATGCGAGACATCTTGAGGGGCTGTGTAGAGAAGTCCTGGCGGAGCTTGGGCTGAGATGGAAGGGATTGCCGTAGCTGAGAGGCAGGTGATTGAGTCGCAGGGACAGATACGGGGTGTGAGGTGAAGGGAGCTGAGGAGGCTCGACGACTGAAGGCCTGGGAAACGGAGTTACGCGGGGCTAGTACTTTGGATGTGCCTCGAAGCGGGGCAGAAGATTGCATGGAAGAAGTCGGACGAGATGTGGTGTGGTGTGAGCGAAGGCAGCTGGGTAGATCCTGGGCGGGCAGCAGTCACAGTCGAGAGGAAGCAAGAGTTTCAACAGATGCACACACTGTGTGGAAAAGCAGCTCTAAAAAGAAGGTCTTGGCCCGTCAATTGACTTCGGGAGCTCTACAAACAGCTATCGAGGGATCATCGAAAGCCGAGGTGGGGGTGGCTTCAAGCTCTTATCGTGGGTTTATCGCTGTCCAGCTAGTGCGGGGCAGCAGCAGCCGGTGATGTCACAGTGGCATTAGCCGTCGGTTTAATCGAGTTCCAGATGCACCACTACCTTCACCAGACGCAGCGCAGAGCGTATGCAAGAACGGCATAATCACGGGGGAGATACAAGATGCAGTCATCACATCTCGTTATGCGATGATGAATCTTATCCACACCGGCCAACTGGATCGCATGCTCCAGCGTCACTCCAGCTGGTCACCGTGAACAGGGGTTTCTTTAAACCATTGGAACGGGTATATCATATCGCGCCATGTAGAGAGTCAACGCAATGCCGAGCTACCTATCTGGCAGGTCCTTAGCTTGCCGGTTGAAGCCATGACATGCCGTGACATACTGACAGTCGTGGAAACCGCGTATGTACAATACCTGCCCCTTGTTCCTAGGCCCCCTCGTTGGAGATCACACGCTGACAAGGATGCCTGATGTACAAGCACAGACACCCCCTCCAGCCCTAAAATGGCCAGCTCCAAAACGTAGGTCTGCAACCTGAGATGCGGAAGCGGTAATTACAAAAACAGGATGAACTGGTACTCGGTCAGGCTCTGCATTGACTGTGCCATCGGGTAGCGACATGGAAGGAGGGTCGGAAGCGTTCCACGACTCCACAGCGGTTCGTTTTTGCAAGGAGCAAGGGTCCGTCTGTCTGTTGGGACCACGACAACCGACCGGCGAGGATGGACGCCACGGCCTTTGTGGGCGAATAAGAAAGGCTGGAGGAGACGCATGGCTGCATAAGGCATGATTGGCAAAACGCAGAGGAAATGAAGGGGAAAAAGAACCGGAATGGTTGCGGCATGGTGTTGAGAATCCAAGACAAGCCGGTGCCCCGGTCAGCAAGCCGTGCTCTCTGTATCGCGAATGAAACTGCAAGGCAAGGCGACAGGGGTTTCCAAGCCTCACTTTTAGATGGCTCCAAGTGTAACCTCCCAGCGGGAACTGGAAGGAATTTGGCAGTTGAGTCCATGTTTTGGATTCGCCCTCTCCACATCCCCAGGCCAGGGGGTAACGCAGACCCGGTTCCCCATTTGGTAGGCCACATGCCAGATCCCTAGATTTACTTTGCTTTGACATTGGGGGCAGGGGGGAGAAACAGTTTTCCTTTCTTGGAACATCGAGATTTGTGAAGTCCATGAGGGACACAACCTATCTGACTAGGACGTGGTAATGCGTCGGACCCTTTTTCCCCTGCAACGAGCATGAAAAGATGCCCCTTTTGCAAGATCGGTCCTACACTGCAGTCGTGCATAGAGGCGCACCCTCCTCAGGTACACCGCCCAGGAGTGCAGTCTTACTTGCAGCTGCGAGGCGGAAGCGTCTGTGATTGGGTACCACATTTGCAATCTACACTCACAACGTAGCATTTTCGATATATTAGCATTGCGGTGTGTATAGATATTTGGGTACCAGCCATGAACCCCACCAGAGTATAAACGAACCAATGTTTCTGAAGATAACGGGGGTGGCCGCAAAGGACAACACTCTGTTTTACAAATAGATAGGTAGGTACATGTACTTTTTTTGCTTTAAGACTTGCTTAACCGGGAAAGAGAAGCGGAGAGAAACAAAATCGAAAATCGAATTCCTGCCCATGCCACTCCCACAAGACGAGTTGTGTAAGTGATAGGCTTCGAGCCCCCATCCAAATCAGGCTCGTATTCGCCCTGCATATCTCAACAAAACAGACAGAAGAAAATTCCCTAGAATAACCCATAATAATAAAATTCCAGCACGCTTCCAAATAGCGATATAACGCCATACAGAAACTGCAATCATTGGAAAGCAAACACGTAGTGGAACCAGCGAGATCTGACATGATCCCACAGCCGCTCTGCTCAAGCTTCGGGTCCCATCAGTGATTGCCGGTGCAGAGATGCCGGGTTGAACCAGGCAAGACTCTTGGTGGACCGGCTTCCTCAGTCACAAGGGGTTCCGCATTGAGCACAGTTGAGGCCTGGAACCACCCAGACCTCTTTGCCCTCCTGAGCGCAGGTGGGGCATCGAGTGCCAGGGAGCTGTATAAAGTGTTAGCTAGGGTTCCAGATCGGTCCCTGTCCGTGGAGCAGCATGGCTAGTTTCACTTGCCTTGCCGGTGTCAATGGTTCCTTTAGAACGAGGGCATGGGGGGTTGGAGTTGACATCAAGGGAGAGAGCAGCAGCTCGTCTTCCGCCGAGAGAGAGAGAATCTTGGACACCCATGGTGAGAGAAGGTAGATGAGGTGGGCTGTTGAATAAGGTAGTTTGATGTCTGGTCGAGATTGCTGATGATTTGGTTGAGAAAGTGGTCGTTGAACAGATGGGAGGATGATTTGTGGGTGAGATCTGAGGGATGGATCGAAAGAAACGCTGGGTGGGAGGGTGATTAATATAGGTTTACGGATTCAACCTAGAGCACCCGAGGCTAAAGGTCATCTAAGTGTTTAGGGGGAGCTAGAGCCTCAGATGGTACATCGATGAGAAGGCTCTCTCAAACCTGCCGCAGGAGAGCTGTGCCCACATGGTACATTACGAGGCTAAAATGGACATCCGAGAGTAGGTGCTGATCCGGGGGCATCGACCTGGGATCCCGGGATACGACTGGCAGCAAAAGGCTAGATAGGCAGCGACGGGGAAGCGAAACTTCGTGGACAGTGCGGCGTAGACGGGGCTCGTCGAGGTTGCTGAGGACGGGCACTAAGCCAGGATCACCCTCGTATGAAGATGAGATATGGATAGGTCAGCGAGCACTAGTCAACACAATGACAGATAGAAGGGCGTTTCGGCAGTAAAAAGCTATCAATCTAATCCATGCGGTTGCCAAGGCTCCGATAGACATGCATGCTGGCGAAACCGAGAGGCACTTGTCGTGTCACTTGATACACGCACCCGGGAGAACCGGCGGTAGCTGAAGGCCGCGATGAGTTTTGTAAGCGGACACCGGCTTGTGAGGCTTGGTCGCATCACTTTCTCTGATTTCCAAGTCAGGGACTTTCCATAACCTCGAGTGACAGGCGGCCATTGGCTGTTGGCAGCACTTAGTCTCCGGTACAAGGATGTTGGAGCACAGGAGATGGAATCTATCTGACCCACTTAGTCGCCCACATATGCAGAGACTGTCGATGTTATTTGCTAGAGGATTTCTCTTTCCTTTCTTTTGCCGGTGCTAGTTGAGGGGGGGTGATGGGGGCACTTGTTTCTTTTTGGGGGGTCTACACGCACACACACCTCTCTTCTTACATGTAGTCAACGGGGAACTCAAAAGCAAGTGCCTCGGCGACAACTTGGGGGGTCTATGCGCCTGCAGGATGCTTGCTTGCGTCGG